AAATGTAATCAGAGAATTTCTAGAATTTCTGCATGTTTTGTAATAATTCAGATGATACAAAGAGCTCTATTTATGTACACAACTGAGAGAATAATCATATTGGTCAAATCCCTTGATTGTAGAGAATATATTCTTTCATAGAAAACTCTAAGCATGCATAATATACGCTAACAAGAAAAGGTTCTCTTGAGATAATATGTTTATAATGATAGTAAGATTCATTATAATTGTGGATGAATCCCTGAGTTTTAAATGTCTTCTTGTGAACATTTACAGATACCTTTGATCCTCAACACCGCCCAATTGTGGAGTTTGCTTTAGACAATGTCCAGAAACTAAAGCTTCGCACAGAAAAGCTTCAATCTAAACAACAGGCTCCTCACAGATTCACGAATGATATGCAGAAAAATGATCATACAAACACAGTGGGCCACGCTTCAAACACGAACTCCAGAAAACGCAAGTCCAGAGATAAAGAGGCATCATTGAAGGATACAGTTGGAGATAAAGCTAGGATATTAAAAGACAAACTTAGTGAGAACCCCACTGGTGAAGAAGGCAGTTCTTTGAAAAAGCAGAAAGGTTCGAAAAGCAGTGTACCAGATAAAAAGATGAAAAACCAGAACAAAGAAAAAGGCCCGTCTAACATTGTCGATAAGAAGCCAGAAATACGAGAAGTAGTCGTGACTAGAAAAAGAAAGGCATTCAATGTTCAACCCAAACAATCGAAAGAAGATTTGAGAAGTAGAAAACGGGGTAAAAAAAGTGAGCCGGTGGGACGTGATGTTGGGGATAAGCTCGACTTGTTGATCGAACAATACAGAGCCAAATTTGCAGGGAATGACTCTGCTGAAGCTGAGGGCAAGAAGCAGAGCTCCAAACGTCTTAAAAGGTGGTTTGAGTCATAATTTTAAAAGTTTATAAGCCAATGTTTACTTATATTGGCTAGTATGACAATTTTGACTTACATTTTCAAGTTAGATTTGGGTTTGAGGATTGCTTTTAGTAGAGGTGAACTTAGCTTTACAGACTTCACTTGTATTTTGTGTTTTGTGCCAAACAATATGTATTTGGTGTTGAAAGTGATGGAATATAGGTTGGTACATTATGATGAATTTTGAGTTGGTTATTGTTGGTGGAATTGTTCAGTGTTCAACAGTTAGTTTCGGTTGGTCTAATGTTAGGCTGATATAATAG